TTGCTTAACGCTCACGCGTTGAAATTGCCCATGTGTGTTCTCGTAGTTCCTGTGTAGATACTAAGTGTCATTCACCTGTGACGCACATACCCGCATACCAGCGGCACATACCCGCCCGTGTGTATGTGCCGCTGTATGGCGCGAAGCGTTTGACGACGTACGCGGCGGGACTGTGGCATTATTCATGTCTTGACCAGCACGTCATATTCGACGAACCATCTTACCCTCCCATGCTAATTTTGGTTCACGCCAAGCTAAGGGGGTGACCTCGAGAGCACCTAAACGTAAGCGGTTAGATAGATAGATAGATAGATAGATAGATAGATAGATAGATACGCTTAAAGTCGCCGAAGCTCGCTAAGAAATGCTTCGCATTAAAAAATACTTCATATGATTTCAGTCGTAGGGCACCACATGGCGGGATTGCATCCCGCGGATGGAGCGGCTGCATTTTCAATGGAGGCGGAAATGTTGTAGGCCCATGTGCTCAGATTTGGGTGCACGTTAAAAAAGCCCAGGTGGTCAAAATTTCCGGAGCCCTCTACTGCGGCGTCTCTCATAATCATATGGCGGTTTGGGACGTTGAAACCCACATATCAGTCGTGAGGCACCACATGGTGGTTTCTCTTGCCCATGACCGCAAAGCTAGGCACACGCGAAGGCTACGTGATGGACTAGAGGAGAGGGTAGTGAACGGCTCGATTGGGCACATCTGGCTGGCATTCAAAAAATAAAAGAGGCGCTGGCGTGGCACGATAGCCTCGGCAAAGTATAAAGCTAAAACGAGAGAGCGATGACATGCCTATAGTACTGCCTACACTCCCACCACAAATATGTGCCATCATTTTACGCCTTCTTGTTGTTATTTATCCTCTGTTGGGACATTTCAGCGAGCAGTGATCACTTTCAATCAAAGTTGTTGCTATCACAGCTTCGTCTGCCCCTAAAACATAAAGCGATAAAAAGAGGGGACAAAATGCATGAAAGGGTGCACACGGGAAGGCCCCACGCTCTCCTTTAATTTCCACATTTCGCCACTGCACCGCAATATATATATATATATATATATATATATATATATATATATATATATATATATATATATATATATATATATATATATATATATATATATATATATATATATATACATGTGCGGCGCGAGACTATCTGCCATGCGCTCGCGTTTTTCCTTTCATAAGAATGACGGCTGTACGTCAGCAAGAGGCATCTACCGCTGGAAATCTAATTTGTGGGCGGCAGCTAAGGGCGTCCGCAGTACGTTTTTGCAGGAGGGTGCAAGGAGGGGTGGGTGGGTGTCGAGCACAGACAGCCCATCTTTCACTTGCTAGAACGGTAGCTGAAAATAGTTGGTGGTTTAGCATTGACATATTTGCACAGCGAAATATTTCGATACTTTCTTTCACTGCTGCGTCATGACCGGCAAACGTTGGCTGGCAATCCTGAAGGTCGCTCCATGCAGATATGCGGGACATGAGTGCGCTAATAGAGCTGTGTGCAGCTTACGGTTACCCCGCGATATATATATATATATATATATATATATATATATATATATATATATATATATATATATATATATATATATATATATATATATATATATATATATATATACATATATATATATATATATATATATGAAATTCCAGAACGTTGGGGGGCGCAGCTGTCTTCCCCTCCACCTCGGACGTTAATGGCTTCTGTCATGTATACTATCGTTGTCACGCAGTGAATTACAGAAAGCGGGATGCGAAAAAAGTTGAATATATTTTTGTTGCCACGGGCACACCAGATCGCATTTCGATTGATATAACGCACGTAGGTGGCGATTAACGCGTTGTTGCGGGCTTCAATATGGGTGCAGCTGATCGGGCGACCAAGGCATACATCGCGGAGTAAGCGAACTTTCAATGCGGACCAGCCTCGTCAATGACGACGAAGCTATGTCACGCTGGGCAGGAAGACGAAGCCACGCCCTTATTCGTGCTACGTGATTTCGGACATTATGGCGGAAACTGGCATAAAAAGAACAGGCACTTAAACGGAGCTGTTCCCGACCCTGACAAGCTTCGTGCTGTTGCCGAATTTCCTAAGCCGACAACAGTTAAAGAACTACGGAGCTTTGTAGGTCTGTGCTCCTATTTTCGTCGGTTTGTCCGGAACTTTGCTTCCATCATCGCTCCGCTCACCAAACTCCTTGGCCCTGCAGATCTTTCAAATTGGACAGCAGCCTGTGATGAATCCTTCGCAACACTGCGTTAACTCCTTACCTCACCACCCGTACTGCGCCATACGACCCTACTGCGCCGACCGAAGTACAAACGGATGCAAGTGGCGTCGGCCTTGGTGCAGTACTCGCGCAACGCAAACCAGGTTTTACGGAGTATGTGGTCGCCTATGCCAGCCGCGCCCTCGCTAAGGCAGAAGCCAACTATTCTGTTGCGTAAAAACAGTGCCTCGCGATTGTGTGGGCGCTAAACAAGTATCGCCCCTATTTGTATGGCCAAACTTTTGATGTGGTAACTGACCATCACGCACTCTGTTGGTTGGATTCACTGAAAGATCCTTCTGGTCGCCTCGGACGTTGGGCACTACGCCTCCAGGAATTCCACATACGCGTAGTCTACCGATCGGGGCGAAAGCACTCTGACGCAGATGCACTTTCACGATCACCCGTGAAGTCTGATGATGATGACCTTCCCCTCTCTGCCGTCAGTGTCACAGACATGCCATTCGAACAGTGGAAGGACCCTTGGATTGTCTCGCTCTTGAATATGCTTTCTGACGCATCAACTTCCGGTTACCCGCGTGTTCTTCGCCGCCAAGCAACGCATTTCGCCATACAGGATGACCTGTTATACCATCGCAACTATCAAGTGGCGGGTCGTAAATGGCTGCTAGTCATACCCAGCACCTCCGCCATTTTGCAAGGGAGTTTAATAGCGACGCCCGGTAGTAGGCAGACAGCCGGTGCGGACACAAATACTCGAGCAGTCCAGCGTTTACAGCTCGTGCACACGCTCGCACTTCGCACTCAGAGATGGTCCCACTAGTCACTGCCTTGCGAATTCCCCACTACAACAGCGCCGATCATCCGCGTCAAAAGCGTGCTATGCACCACTGTTTAACGACATCTCTTGAATTTACTCTCCACCTGTATCGGCCTGATCAGCACCTCCTCTGCCGTTATGTCAGGCGCTGCCTGACATGACGATAAGGGCGTGCGCTGGACTGTATATAGACACACACCCGGCGGCAGTTGTGGTAGTGTACTGCATTCATAATGGTGCTGAACGCAAACACCAGACAATTATTTTAGGCGAGTATACTGCGTTTAACGATCACCAAAGGGAAGGTGCGTCCAGCAACGTTTCTCGATAATTCTTCGGAAGCCCCACATAAACATATATATGCTGCATCGTAAAGTACGCCATCCTATCTTCTGCTGTGTAATCCAAGCGATGTCATGCTGCAAGCGGTATTGTGAATACATGCAATGTCGTTCATTTGCTCATTCATTCATTTTTTTATTTTCCTTTTCAAAAAATATATAATACAAGGGCCGAGACTAAGAGCCGCATCAGCGCCTTAACGAAGGTCTTGACTGTCATATATACTCATGCCATGTACCAATGCACATGCTCATGACGTATACTAAGCGTAGCTATAAAGAGTGGTGCCACCACCCCCAAGAAGCGCACTTGCGAATTAGGCCTGAACTACGCCTCGCCTAAAGATTTTAGAGTTCAATCGCCATGCAACGAGGTGCAGAAATCTTGAAATGCTCATTTTTCGCTCTGTGTATGCCACGGCACGGCCGGTGTGGACACTAAAAAAAAATTAGTAAAAAAGTGTCGTTTTGCCCCACAACAATAATAATTTATCTCGCGTGTTCCTTTCGCCCGGCACTTTCTGGCCACGAACTCCATGCGTGTTATTAGCGTGACATGGCTTTCTTTATAGGAAAGTGGAGGCGCTCGCTTCCAGACCGGCCGTTCTCATGTTGAAATATAAAAAAAAAGTCGGGTGGTGTGGAGGGCCACGGGCCCGGTGTGTCACCTTCTGGCTACGCCACTGCCCCCCCCCCCCCCCCCACTACCCATTCCCTCGAAATGTTGATGCAGGGATGTGTTTTACCAATAATAATGAAAGTAGGTGTTTTTTTTCAAATAGTGAAGGCCTTCAAGAGTGGTCGATCTCGAGGAAAAAAAAAAGAAAACATTCCTGGTCACGGGCCTGGTTGAGTTACACGATTTTAGTGCGCAAAATGACATTTGATATATTTTCATCCGGCGATATTGCACATCAGATATAGACAGCGTCGTCCTGTCCTCGTGCTTGATTGCGCCGTGGATCTCGAAGAAGCAGTTAGACTAGCAGGCAGCGTTGGACGCACGTGTCCCTGTCGGGGAATCCCCCTTTGTCGAGGCACAGCTGCATGAAGGGCAGGCACCGAGCCTCGTCCTGGTCGTAGAAGAAGGGCAGCCGCCGCTGATGCCACTCGCAACGACGCACAACCACGGGACCCGCACTGCAAAGCGACGCCTGCGAAGGTGGAAAACAGTGCCACAACCCGCTTATGAGATGGACTATGTCAGTCCTCCGACTGGTGCTCAGAGGCTGACTAAGGGTCGTTGAGGCAGCGACATGTGCAGCGATGTGGTTCGGAACGTAAGAGTGCTCAGGGTTTGTTTCCCTTTACGGTGAGAGGCGAGCGTCCACATTGAGAATACCCCCACTCCCCCAATCGCTTTCCGGCGGTTGATTTCGAACGCAAACAAGCTTCGCATTGGATGAATAAATACAAGTGAAGAAACAACGTGTTTTCGTGATTAGTTGACCGTGGCAGCGCACAAGCCTTACCCTTTTGCCGGCGTGGCAGGCATCCAGGCATTCGGCGAGCGAGGCGAACCCGCTACCTTCAACGACGCACATATCGGGTGGCAGGCGCGTGCATCGAAACCGTTCGGTGCTGTTGGTGGGGGACAGGGCGAGGCCCAGCACGTACTCGAGCCGACGATCCCCGTCATGGCAGGCTCGAGTGCGCACGGCGCCGCACCGGTCACTGGCACGCGTGCTGTCTGCGTACATCAGACGAGCTTCCTGAAAGGGTCTTCCGCAATGCTTCAGCATAACGATTGTAAAGCAGATTGATTGATTGATATGTGGGGTTTAACGTCCCAAAACCACCATTTGATTATGAGAGACGCCGTAGTGGAGGGCTCCGGAAATTTAGACCACCTGGGGTTCTTTAACGTGCACCCAAATCTGAGTACACATTTCCACACAGTCTACAACATTTCCGCCTCCATCGGAAATGGATTGTAAAGCAGCGACCACCCATCAAGCGCTCATTCAAGAGCACAGTGGGCTCGAAGGGCTCCCGTCAATGTCTCAACATTGGTCACCAGCTCAAGGGATGTGCTGTAGATATCACTTTCAGCGTGCACTAAGTGGCTACTTTTTACGCATCTGATTGCGTGACCTGAGCGCGAGGATCATGCGGCGACACCTCGGCTCTTTTTTTTTCAGGCAGCGAACCATACGTTGCCCCACCAATTGGTGAATAATAATAATAATAATAATAATAATAATAATAATAATAATAATAATAATAATAATAATAATAATAATTCCGCGTGTACAAAAATGCGGCACTCGAATAGGTGCACCGGTCACATACGTATTTGTAGGCGCCTCAATCATGGGCTTATCGATCAGCAATCTGCTGTTTGTGACACCGCAACATGATCACTTATTGGTGTTATCGAGGTTCGCCATTTCACGTTGCTTCCAAACTTCATTGTCGCCAGAATACAAGCGCATGACCACCGTTGTTGCCTGCAGCAGCTGAAGCGCCGCGCTGCACGTGAATGAAAATGCGATTTCCGGCACGCACCCGGGAAGCACTTAGGAGGGAGCATTTGCGGAATGCGACCGAAAAAGAAAGACAAGTAGGCCCGAAAACGCAAAGCTTTGCTTACCCGCATTTTCCCGATACCGGTCAAGAGCTTGTGATTTTTTTTTTTTCAGCGGTGACAAGTATACCTTCTTTCTGACTATTACGCGTAAGTTTAATGGTCGACGTCTCTGCCCGACAGTGCTCTTTCGAAGGGTCACACGTATCTACAACAGGCCATCACGATGTCCTTACTCGTTTAAGAGGAGCCAAACTTGTATTGGCCGCGAGGGCTACCTGTGGAGAGGCTCGCACTGCGATCGTTTTGACGCCACAGATAGGATGCTCCTGCTCGCCTTGCTGCGTAGATGGTGAGGCAGCGACGTTCGGGTGTAATCGCGGGGCGCGGAATTCGGTTCTCAGCGGGTCAATTAAGCTTATAACTTGGCCGGGTGGAAATACTATCACCGTATAAGCATGCAGCGATACGTTGCGTAAAGCAGATTCTAATATTAATACAGTATCTGGGGTTTTGCGTCCCAAAACCACGACATCATTGCGGGACGCCTCAGTGGAGGGCTCCGGAAAGTTCAACCATCTGGTGCTCTTAACGAGCACACACGGGCCTCCGTTTTCCCACCATGGAAACGCGACCGCGGCGGCCAGGATCGAACCCACGACCTTCGGGAGAAAGAGCGAATCGGCGACGCTCTTTCGCCCTCCGCTTGCGCACGACAAGTGCCTCCGCACGCGCGTTGCGGCTGGGCCACCACCGCGGCTGACTGCAAGTAGCTTCAGATTGTGCCAAATGTATGCGATAGATGCCGCAGTAACGTTAAAAAAATGCGCGACACCTGGCCCAAAAATCGACAGGAAGGGGAATATGGAAACTTACGATGAAAAAGTCCCTGAACAGGGGTTGTGTGCTCGAACTGACGTTTCCACAAATGGACTTTTTTTTAAAATAATTTATATGTCAAGTTTCGTACCCTTTCCTCCAATCAGAACCAAGAAGGGGGAGAAGTAGGGCAAGGGAACTGTGGATGGGGGTGCGGGAGGCGCCGCCATGACGAATTGTGTGAGTCAAAGGGAACCTTTAGCTTGCTGGCGGGAGTGTATTAAACTTGTGAATAGCGTATGACTGCATATTTTCTCTCTCCTGTGGACCGGAAGTTTGACTGAAGTATTTTAAGTTTGAGATCGTGCAAGTTGTGCCTCGCTATCTCAAGAGCGTTAAGGAAATCAATTCCAGCCTTTGTTATGATCAGCCTCCCTGGCTTGGCGCCGCTTGGACATTGCAGCTGAGCCTACCCCAATTTCTTCCTGGTCAGAGCTCCCAAAAGCTTCCTTCGAGAGCTTCTGTGATGCTACCCCCATCACGTGCTACCTGTAAATAGAAGGTACTGTTAACAGCTCCTCTCCTTGACATGTCCCCGAGACTTTGGCTGGCTCCGGGGGAGACTACGTCACCTTGAAGAAGACAAAGTCCACTTGTCGAGCGCACAACCCCCGCTTACAAACTTGTATACGAGTATACGAGTATGTTCGAGCTCACTGTGACACGTCCTCTGACACTCGGCGAGAGAGGCGAACGCGTTTCCGCCGGCTTCGAGGCACTGGCTGCGAGGCTCCCAGCGCTGGCAGAAGCCGTCCAAGATGCTAGCGCCCGAGAACACCCAGGCTGGAACCGGATGCGCGCACCGAGACACAGACGGAAGTGACGTGCACTCGGGACGCGGCACGCCTGGAAAGAAGCATAGACGTCGAACGTCGGTATGATTTAAACCTATTATTGTCGTCCCAGTCCATCCTATGTCTACTATACTGAAGGACCACGGTTATACTCCCAGTGATCTCCAATTTAAGCTGGCGTGTGCGAGCTGGTTCCATTTTTTTGTTGTTGTTCTGAACTTTCTATTTCACTCCATCACCCGTTCTTATAGCTATCGGTGCCTACTTTTTTTTAATCAAACTTTCCAGAATTATTGCTGGGACTCGCGAGCAAGTGGGCTTTACGTGTTCTGCGTGTAATCTTAACAAAATAATCTCAAAAACAATCGTAAAACTTCCATGAGCATTGCGACGTGGCCTGGAACGAGGATTGCCAGCAGCTTTTGTGGGTGAAAACCGTGCAAGCATCAGAACTTAGATAAGAAACGCGCGTGGCGTGCAATGTCATTACTACCGATCTCCCGCTCAGGTTCTGACAGTGGCGGTTCGCGTATTTCTTCCTAAAAAAACAAACTAATTGACCTATTTTACTGTTTATGTTCGATTAAATATAAATTATATGTTGCGTACGTTGTTTCATTGCCCGGCACGCTTGCCTATCCGTATACCATTTGGTACATGGTCGTGGTCCTAGTCATGCTCTTGAAAAAGCTTTTTCACCCATGACCTCAGCATTCCAACTGATGTAACGGTGGAATGAATGAAACATTCAAAGTGTGTGCTTGTCTTTCCTCATCCATGTCTTTTTTCGCGTAGCCCGGCTGTGTGTTTGTCACCAAGCTTGCTTAGTTTTTGTTTTATTGTAAAAGTGCTGCAAGTCTTGCAGCACTTTCTGCAATTTTTAACAAATGCAAGACTTCTTTTTTTTTCATTGTATCGGCTCTGACAACGGTGCTGGCAGGTTCTCGATCCTGAGGCTTCGTGTGAGGACGATGAATGAACAGCCAGTGAGCGCTTGGACTTCCACACAAGACCGGTATAACTTTAAAAGCACTGTCCTCACGTATGCGAAAGCAGAAACTGCGGTAACATGTCCTGAGCGAAAATACTGGGCTGGCATCATTTTTGAGAAATTCTGCAAGAAAGTACGCTGGGAAATGCACTGATGTTTCCTAAGCTCAATATGGGACGATATTAAGTGAAACGTCTACAGCCAGTAGTCTCTGCGCCGGAAGGAGAGCACGTGGTGTAATGAACCAGCTCAGCAATTGCGCACGGGTGAGTTTTTGTGGGTGCGGTATATTTTGCAACTCACTTGTCCAATCACGCGGTGTCTCGTCGGTGAGGACGCTCGGCCGGGCGCTGCTGCCCGAGTTCTTGGTGAATGCCCCCTCGAACGAACCTGCGCATGCGCACTGACCTCTTCAGGTGTTACCTGCAGAACCTCGAAATGCATTTTCAGCTGAGTCGATACTCAGCGCAATAACGATCCCTCCTGAAGGGCAGAGAGAATGGCGCACACAGTCCGATGCTCTGTCTCATGACGACGCCTTTCGGCGATGACAGCACAGCAACAAGTTATCTCCGTCACAAAGACAAAAAGCATAAGGACGACGTAATAGCTGGCAGCAACTCTATATATGCCACTGGCTATTATGCAGGCGCATAAAATATGTATTTCTGGTAGAAAGCACACACTCATAGTACCACTGGAACGGCGTCTTGATTCATCATATACAAAAGTGCAGACAGGGTTCGCGACCAGTGCTCTAGGACCTTGGTATACGACGCTCGAGATATTAATACCAAACACGCATGCATGTTTACTGTGGGCCAGGTATCTACAAAAAAACAACAACAATAATTTGTACAAGATTGAAGCTTTTCTCCGAGACTGCCCGGTCATTTTTTGAAGTGAGTCTACACGTGTGACGCAGATCCAAGAAAGGAGGCCTCTACCAACGTATGGTGACTTCGAAAAGCCCCCGTTTTCGGGTCCAGGGGCCGCAAGGGCCCGTAATAGCACAATTCACTATACAGTCAAGAATTGCTTCTCCATTTTTAGTTTGACCACAGACTTGGCGTAAGACAGTATGTCCGTAACCTTAACCGTGAGATGCCTATAGAGTTACTGTACAGGCTTCATTCCCGTAGTACTGCTTATGAAAAAAATAGTTATTTCCCTTGAGCCGCTAACGTGTGACAGCGGCCATGTGACCATAAGTGCATTAGCGAACGTCACCGCCAACCACACAACACAGCGACGGCCTTCTCGAGAGATGTCTTCCCGTGTGCCCCATTTCCAAACAGAACGTATCAGCAGCGCGCGCGGTTATCGCAATCTTCTTGCCGCTGGGCGAAGCAGATACGCATGGCCGCCAATTTCTGCGCAGTGAAACGGAGCTGCGTGGCGCCATGCTGTTCACGCCAACTCGCGAATGCGCGCCTGGAGCTCTGCAGTGCAGCGCAACATCGTCAGCAAATATGGAACGGTAATATGAGCAAACCTTGCCACACATGCTGCAGTGCAAAGGCAAATGTGCTAAAAGATTATTCTTGATAGAAGAGATCATGCTCTTTCGTTCGGTCGTTTACACATAAGCCGGTCTGGCCGATGTAAACCCTTCCGCAGAAAAATGGAATATTGTAGACCATCGCACGGGTGACCCCCTTCCAGGCAGAAGCAAGGAGGTGATTGAGCGAGAAAAGCTAGAAGCATACCTCATCAGACAGATATTTGTAATAGCGATACGTCGCTGGTACTGCATTCGTTCAGCTGACGCTGATTTTTTTTAAAGGTATCTCAACTAGCGCGGCAGTGCGAGTGTTCGACTGTGCGATGCGACGTAATGGCGTGTTTTTCGCAAGTGTGGCATGGTGCATATACTGTGGTTGTTTCGCAAGTTTTAGTTGCGAGTCGACGCTGTTTCTTTTCGTCCATTCTTCTCCTGTGGGTTGCGTCGTCTAATTTTTTTGTAAGAAGCAATGCTGATTTATCTATTTCTCCCGTAGAAGACACAGACACAGTTGCGGGACTACACTTATCACCAGTAGCACTCGCATAACTCGGTTCCGTATAGCATCCGCTTCGTTTCAAATAAAAGTTTGCGCGACTGCAGCCAAAACACGATGTCTGATGCGTGTCTTCATGCCCTCGAAGCGATAACGCGGACATACACGAAAGCACGCAAGCTCGAGAACAATCACATCAGGCAAACGGCGTTGTCTAACACACAGCATCTACGGACCAAAATTGAATCAGTGGTAGATGACCCAGCGCAGCCATGCCTTAAAATAGATTAGCGAACCGAGGGGCGTCCGGCAAAGTTCTCTGGAAAGAACGTCTCCGCGCACTCGCGCGGCGCCGCCCACGCTCAGCTGCCTTCCTGCACAGAAAGAAACGGACAAACGTAAGAGAACGTAGACACGACACGAACAAACAGCGGTTATAAGATATCAGACTACCACATTAGGCACGGAGAAAAATGATGATGATGATGCCCCTGACATGACTGGCATCTATACCCAATTTCGGCCAAGAGTCGGGCGGATCACAGTCTGAAAATTCTAAGTGCTTATGAGGTTACAGTGTCAAAGTAAAATTAAGAGTTTTTAATGAGCCCCAGTTTTAGCCTAGACATTGTTGCGTAAACAATTCAACCCCCCCCCCCCCCGCTAAAAATAAAGAAAAACATGTCAGGATAAATTGTTAGCGGTTGACGTGTCGAAAAAACAAACAAAAAAACTCACACCCAGAGTGGGTGTGAGTCATAGATATAGGCCATCATCATCACCATCATCCCTTGTACATTCAATAAGACGACTCGATGGCGTAAGCCATTTTCTTCGCTTTCTTCCGAGTAGATATATAAATGAGCAAAGAACATGAGCCGTGGTTTCACGTGATCATTATAATAACCTCCATATCGACGGCACACACCCACAAAGCCAGACATCTGGCTGCAGGATGCCTAAAGTAAAGGTCTGTGACCATAGGCGTGCGCAGGGTTCCCCTTCAGTGGGGGGGGGGGGGGGCGCAAATATTCGTCACAGCACCCCCCTCCCTATTATGTGATTCCCTTAAGTGACCAACCCCCCCCCCCCCCCCCCCTGTACGCTCGCGTGTGTCTGCGAAACAAATACAAGACGAAATTTAGTGTAAGAATAAAACATCAAATGAATGAAAATAAGTTAGTAAGCAAGCGTGCCAGTGTCAAGCGTCGTCTTCATTTTTTTTTTTTGAGGTCACACGCTCTGTTCCTTTTTTTTTTTCCCCAGCCGAAGGAGGACGCTACAACAGCATCGTGTGTTTAATAGTGTGGCGTTAAGTCGCACCAAAAATTGTGACGTCACGATGACGTGCTAAACTTTTGCAATCTGTAACGTCATTTCATGAGGATGATTCTTTGCATCACTCATCCCCGACGACGCTGATGGTCAAGTTTGCCGTTTCTTTGATTAGGCATCTAAGGGTTTAGTCTTAATAAATAGATTCGATACGCGCTGCGGCCCACACCCGCTTCTCGGGGTTCAGTAAGCGAGTCGAAAAATGGTAGTCATTTAGCACACATGAAACGAATCCCGTAGGTACTGAACAGCAACAAAACAAAAACGCGATACCAAAATTCCATAACGCACAAAGTAGTTGCACCGCACGTGAGGTTATCATCCTTACTGCGGGGCGGGATGACCAATTCCGTTAGAATCCAAACGGGCGCTTCTGTCTCCTACCTTTAAATATTCCGCTCTCGTGTTCAATTATAAAACAGCGCTATCGACACAAGATAAAGTAGGAAGGGACACACAAGACATTAATTCGCCTCAATAAGTTCATCGGTCCGAAAGAGGTTTTCTAGAATACGCACCGAACGATGAGATGGAACGATCAATACGAGATTTGAGCAAGCCAGAGTAAAGGCGCCTGAAAAAACATGGCTGATCTCACAGCATAAGAATCAGCATAATACGAAAGTGAAACGTGTATTTATAGAGGTAGCTGAGCGTTTATCGCGCACTGTTTCCGACACAGCGAGAAATTGCCAAGTCACGTTCAGTACCGCGAGCAGCTGGAAACTTGCAGCGCACACATCAAGTAGAAAGCACACACGAAACTAGCATACACCGGACGAGCGCGGATAAATTATCGCAGGTCGACACTTAAAGCGCGCTGTTCAAACAGAAACAAGGACGCACGAAACGAGCGCACACTGAGTACACAAAGCACAAGCGCGAACAACTGTCACAATTCTTGCGCCGTGTGTCAGCAGCGTGCTCCTTTCGTGAACGCGGCTGCAGCAGCATGCGAAGTGACCTTCGTCTTCTTCCGAACAACGAGTCTGATAAGCGCGCGCAGGGGAGACCACGCTCGGTGGAGGAGGCGTTTCGTGGAAGCGACGACCAACGTGAGCCCGCCGCGCCATCTCGCCAGTGATAACGAAAACGCGCTAAAGTTTCGAAGCTCTAAGGACTGCGAAACAGTGTATATGAATGACTTGCCTTTGGCACTACAGACAACGTATACGCTCTATGGCGTAGTGTCGAGCACCGCGCGCAAAGAATCAAAAGGTTGCTGGTTCGGTTCCGCGAGATGAATACTGTGTTTTATTACACCAAAGCAATTAAAAGATTACCGTGCCAGTGATAACCTTTTCAGATCTTTAGTTTATAATTCATAGCGATGTCTGTCAAAAACAAGAGATAATTTGACCGCTTGCTCAGCAAACATTTTTGTTTATTAACAGAATTATCTCTACACTAATTTTTTAGATTGGCTTTAATTTCATTTTAGTTTCATTTAAGTATCCTGCCGCCCGGTTCTTGGCCCATCCCTTTCTGTGGGTGAGCGCCATCCGTCCAAGGTCATCAGCATCAGCTTGCATGCAGTGGCAGATCCAGAGGGGTGGGGTGGTAGGAGCGATTGCCCCCCCCCCCCCCCGAGCATGTCAGTACCCCCTTCATGATGATAAGGGGCGCGAAAAAAACGACACACAACAGAGAAGAAGTACACGGGATGACGCGCTACTAGCAACTGGAATATTTTATTCAGGAAACACCATTTATACCGCAGTGACATCAAATTTAACCCAACGAATCGACCAAAAACTAAAAATACATGCTCAGCATGCCTATAAGTAACGTTGCAGATAGGCTATCTCCCCTTCCTGCAGACTGATAGAGGGGTGGCTGATGCAATCATGCCCCTCCCTCTGGATAAAGAGGGCTTCTATAATCTCCCTCTCCGCTGAGCCCCTGTGCCTGTAGATTACAGTTGTCTGCTCAAATACCGGCTTACAGTTACCCTGACCGCATCCTCTGCAATGCATCGCCAGATGCGTGAACGGCCTTCCTATTAAAGAGCTGCTGTGCTCTCGCAACCGCAGATTGAGGCATCTACCAGTTTGCCCTATGTATGCCTTGCCGCACGACAGTGGTATTCTATATACAACACCACGTGCGCAAGGAACGAACTGTCTTACGTGCTTAATGGCACATCCTCTTTTTTCACACTGCTTTGGCCTACCTGTCTTCTTACCAACCGCTGAGCAGATGCGGCCCACCTTGTTTTCTGCGGAGAACACGAGATCCACCCCATACCTCGAAGCCACTCTCTTAAGGCCGTGCGAAAGCCAGTGGATATA